CCAGCTGTGACCCTAGCCAAATTACTTAGCCTTTCTGAACACAGTATCCTTGTTTATAAAACAAGTAATAATTTGTACCTTGCAGAATCTGTGAAGACTAAATGAGTTAGATGTATGGTTAAGAACCTACTGAGTGCCTGGAATGTAATAGGTGGTCAGTACTCTGAGGTTATTTTTATCATCCATTCATTTCTATAATAGTGATCTTCTAGCCATCCAGAGGCTGAATCAGGGTAGATCCTGAGTTATCTCTATGGACCTTCCCTGCAGATCCAATTGGACCTGTTATTCACATCTCTTGTCTACCACCTCATGGTTTTTTGTTTGTTTGTTTGTTTGTTTGTTTGTTTTTTGTGGTGGTGGTGGTGGAGGTGGTAGTGGTGGTGGTTCTGGGGATTGAACCCAGGAGTTTTTGCATGCAATGCAAGCACTCCACCAACTGAGCCATATCCCCATCCCTTACCTCGGGTATCTTAAGAACAGGACTGAAGGGTAAGACACTGCATGCCAAGTGAAGGTCAGGCTGTGATTGCTCTAGGATCCTTAGGAAGTGTCTTGTTTGAATTTCCCTGAATCCAGAAAATTCTGTGTTATGCTTAATAAATTAGGCAGCTGGACTTAAAAAAAAATGTCAACAGACTTCTCTACCAAGTTTTCATATTTCTATATTTAACCAAAGTCTGACAAGTTTGAGCAACCAGATGAGGTCTCTAAGCCTAGGCAGAACAAGTGTGGCTATTTTTCTCTGTTGGTCAGAGCCAGATTCTGGAACCAGGCTGACTGAGTTGGAAGCCTGGCTCTTCTCTTTCCTACCTGTGTCAACTTCAGTTTTTCCACTTCTCTTTTGTAAAACAGTACCTATACTGAAAGTTTTGTTGGGAAGAGTCAAATAATCATTGTAAAACATTCATATGTGCTCAGTAAACAATAGCTGTTGTTCTTATCACAGAGTAGTAGGGAAGATTCTGTGCTACAGAGCATTCCCTAGGTTCAGTCTGTAGGGACTAAGCAGTGAGTACTGCAGGGACTAAACAGTCCTAATAAAGGTCTCTCATTCACTCTTGATTCATCCTGCAAATATTTATTGATCTACTAGGCCAAGCCCTATTCTAAATTCTGAGCTATGAACAAAAAGGTCAAAACTCACTGCCCAGGGAATTAGCATTCAAATCTCCTCCCAGGGCTGGAGACCATTGCATCTGGCTGGGTCTTTGCTCAAAACAAGAAAACTGAAAATTTGACTCTGAGTTCTTTAAACTAGTCACAGCTTGATTTGTGTCACTTTATTCCCATATCATCACTCCTTTTTGTTTTGCACAACAGTCATTTAAGCACCTTTTATGTCCCACTTATATTTAAGTGACATAAGAGCTGGCACAGTGCAGACAATGGTTAAGTGATCTCAATACAGTGAAAGGTAAGCTCTGGTCAAGAGAACCATAGGGTTTGGGGGGAACGCAGAGAAAGAACATAAGAAAGCAAAATCAGAGAAGTTTCCTGGAAAGGTGATATAGATAGAGTTAGCTTCAAAGAGGTACAGGAGCAGTAGAGAGTCAGGAAGAGTGTGAGGAGGAAAGGATGGGGTTTTCGAGGCCCAGAGAACAGATGGAGAAACCACAGAAGCCTGGAGCTACCTGAATACTGGGAGAAGGGCAAATGGGTCATAATTACAGCTACAGCAGAGAACAGAGCTGAGGGACATAGAGCAGAGTTGGTAAGAGGCACACCAAGCTATGAGCCAGATCATGAAAGGCATGTGCATTGCTCCTGAAGATCTTAAGGGACCTGTAAAGACTTGAAGCTTGGGAATGACATAGACATGATAAGGCATTGTGTTGGTATTGCTGCTCTGCCCGTCTGGATGATTTAAAGAAAAATGTATCAGCCAGTGTTCTGCAGAGCAACATAACCAATAGAATATATGTAATTATAAGAGATTTTATTACATTGGTGTGTTAGTCCGCTTTTTGTCATTGTGATCAAAATGGCTGCCAATACAGCTTAGAAGAGAGAAAGTTTACTTTGGGCTCAGGGTTTCAGAGGTTGACCAATTTCATTTCTCTGGCCTGAGAAGCATAACATGGTAGAAAGGGGTGGCAGAAGAAGACTGCCCAGCTCATGGCGATTGAGAAGCAGAGACAGACAGAGAGAGGAGCCAGGGACAGATATAGTTCAAGGCCATGCCCCCAGTGACCTACTTCCTCCATCCATGCCCTACCTGACTACAGTTACCACTCAGTCCATTCAAATAATTAATCCATCAAGTGGATTAATCTGCTGATGAGGTTACAGCCCTCATGATTTAATCATTGCCTGAAAGTCCCACCTCCGAATCTTGCTGTTTGGAGCACCATGCTCTCAGAACATGAGCTTTTCAGGGACATTAAAGATTCAAATCATAACAATTGGCTTACATGATCAGAGACTGAACAGACAGTAGTAACTGTCTGCATGCTAGAGATTAATATAGCTGCTCAGTTCAAGAAAAGTTGGAAGCTCAGAATAAGAGACAGAAGCCAGTGATGCAGTCCTGGTCCAAGGCTCAAGAACTCAGAGTCCCCTAACAGGCCTCTGGCATCTGAGTCTGATGTCCATGGGAGATAGCAGCAACAAAAAACACACCTGCTCAAGAAGGGTCGATTGTGCCTGCGTGTGCAAGTTTCTTCCTTCTTCTACTTTTTCATGCCATCCACTTTTTCCTAGCCTATTTGTTGATGCCACCCACGTACAGAGCAGGTTTTCTCCACTTAGTTCACTGAAAACACCCTTCTTCTTCTCTGGAAACACCCACAAAGACACACACAAAAGCCTGTTTTGCCAGTTTTCTGGGCATCCCTCAATCCAGTCAACCCAAATGAAGGAAATCTAGGTGACCAGCTGTCCCTGTGAGAAAGCATAAAGACCTGAACAGACAGTAGTAACAAGGAGGTAGTGGAGGCAGGATCAGAAAAGGTGTTCAGAAGTATGTGAGCACTGCAAGGCTTGGAGAATATGTAAGGGTGGGAGGACAGAGGCTTTGAAACTATCAAAATCATAAACTAGTGCAAGTTAAGAGGGGCAAGTGACCTCACCTGGAGTTAAAATGATTCTTTGTATTACCATAAAAAAAAAAAATGAGGGCCAATGTGGTTAGCCCTGATGCTCAACGTGGTCAGCAAGGGTGCTTTGGGGCTCTGCTCCTGAAGACCTTTGTAAATGTGGCAGTCGTCTGTGGACTCAAAGGTCAATGCCGATTCACATAATCCCTCCAAGTAGACCTCTGCATCTGCTGGCTCATGCATTAATTTTGTTGATCAGTTATTTATCGGATGCCTACTAAGTGTTCTTACACTACTTACATTTTGGTGGTAGTGAGCAAGGAAGGGAATAATCATTACAGAAAACAAAGAAGATAGCTTTCAGATAAATGAAGTTAGAGAGAAGGCCAAGTGATGGTTGGGTGATATGAGCAGGTAACTCAGAGCTTAGACCTAAATGACCCAGGGAAGAACTTTCCAGAAGAAGGCCATGGAGCAGGAGCTAGATTGGTGCCTTACCTTGTTAAGCCCCATCTCTTGCCTGAATTTCTTCAGTAGCCCCCTAACTGGTCTACCTTCTATCCCTTTTGATCTGCCATCTTGATAGTACAGCTAGAGTAATCATTTATAAAATATGAGTGACATCTCCCTCTTCAGAGGCTTCCCATGTCACAATGCGTAAAAGCCAAAGTGTTTACAATGGCAGCAAGGCCCTCCCCAGTCCTACCCTCTCTTCCCTCTCTGATCACCTCTTCCACTCCTTTTCTACCTGTTCCCTCTGCTCCAACCACACCCATCTCCTTCCTGCTTCTCTAACCTGCCAAATACATCCCTGTCTCAAGACCAAAGACTGCGTGGCTTGTCCCTTATTCAAGTCCTAGCTTGTATGTCAAGGGTTCCAAAAATTGCATGATACAAAGATTGTAAGGAGGACTAATAGGACTCACCATATAGTTATATTCAGAATTACAACCTATTAGAGTAAAAAGATACTCAGCAAAATCAGGAAGAGGAAAAAGTACATGGGGTGAGTCCAGAGAAGACCAGGGGCAAGCTTCTGATGCTTTTCCCCACTATTATACAGGACACACTTCATTCCCCCATCAATGAGTTGTGACAACACATGAAATGTCTATCAGAGATGCTCAGTGGAGGCTCATTGGCTCTTTGCCCAGAGTTTTTACTGGGAACTGGTCACATACATAGCCTGGCAGGTACTGAAGTTCCAGACTCTCAGAAAGAAAACAAGTATTCAGCATAAACCATATTGTTTGCACAAACCATTTAGGAATAATGATATGGATTTTTCTTTTTTTTTTTTTTTTGTGGTGCTGGGCATGAAACCCTGACCACATGCATGCTAGGCACATACAGCCCCCAGTGAATCATTCTTGTCAGGGATAAGAGTGACTGTTAGGAACACACATACACACACACGCACACACACACACACACACACACACACACACACACAAGGAGGAAATGCAATTGCTGAGCAGACAGGTAAAGGCAGACAGAAATCTCAGGAAGGGGTTTAGACAGGCATGTTTGTAAGTGCCATGACTTCCATAGAGGTGCCCACACTAGTTTCAGTTTCAGTTCACTACCACTCTCCTCAGGGCCAAGCATCTATCTTCCTTTCCCTTTTAGTTAAAAGTCTCTTAGTATATGTGCAATAATATGCAATGCTTTTCTGCCCTAGAGTTTGTCATAGTAATATTCATTTAATTATAAGCATTTAGGTACTATCTCGATTCTCCATTAAGCTGAAAATTCCTGGCTTGTTAACACTGTAGCCTCAGTGTGCCACTCAGAACTCTACAAATTTTTGAATGAATGACAACTTTCTCCTGAGAAAGCCCTGAATCAGCTGCACCTGCATAGCCTCCTCCAAGTTCAGAGCACAGAGTGTCAGGCATTTACCAGCTTCATGATGCTCTGGCTGAAGCCTCTCATGCTCAGCTGTGGGTATTTATTTTGCAGGAGTCCCTGGAGAAGGCCCAGCTGCTTGCACTGGCTGGAGACCAGCTCATCCAAGACCATCATTACTCAGTGGACTCCATTAGGCCCCAGTGTGTGGAGCTCAGGCACCTCTGTGATGACTTCATCAATGAAAACAAGAAAAAACATGACACTTTGGGAAAGTCCTTGGAGTTGCATAGACAGCTGGACAAGGTGAGCAAAACAAAGCTGTGAAAGTGTCTGCAGGATTTTCTGTCAAGCGGTTACCAGGGATTGAACTCAGGGGCACTTAACCACTGAGCCACATCCCCAGCCCTAGTTTGTATTTAATTTAAAGACAGGGTCTCACTGAGTTGCTTAGTGCCTCACTTTTGCTGAGGCTGGCTTTGAACTCACGATCCTCCTGTCTCAGCCTCCCAAGCAGCTGGGTTTGCAGGCATGCACCACAATGCCCAACTATAAAGTGGTTTTAATCATACTTGTCCTCCCTGCCTCACATGATCACTGAGAGTATCCAGAATTTTATGTGAAAAAGTGCTCAAGAGCCATTAAAAACTGCAGACACTAGGTCATAGAGGTATAGGATATAATAAAGTGTCCTAGCCATCTCTCCACACCATTAAAATTAACTAAAGTCCCTGGTAACAGATTTTGAAGAGTATGTTTTGTCATGGCCTTCTGGGGACATTTCTTGATTTCCTTGCAGGTGTACAAAGAATCAAGCACCATATTTTCAAAGTGTCCTCATGCAGAGGCCAAGGATTGTGAATGATTTTGGAGAAGCTTCAGTAATAAGGACCATTATACCCCCTTACCATTTATTGAGCACTTACTTTGTTCCTACAAAGCATAATTATGTCATATATTTAATCCCTAAGACAGCCAGTGAGAAAGGTATTAATGGCTTCTTTGTCCAGAGGCAAAAAGTAATAGCATGATGAATCAATGGATCTCAAAACTTGGTACCCAAGAATCACCTAGTGAGCTGGTTATAACTGCAGAGTCCCTGATGGGTTACCTCAAAGACTCAGATTCAGCAGGTGAGGAATAAAGCCCAGGAATTAGTCATTTAGTCCAGTGCCAAGTGATTTTGGTGCTAATGGTTCACATGGTACCAGGGACAACTTTAAAAAGCCCTGGGATGAATGACTGCTAAGATCACCCATGTCATAAATAAGGGGAAGCCAAATTTGAAGCCAGGACTGCCAGATTCCAAACCCTGGCTTCTTAAGCGAGTAAGCAAGGCTGTGTGTCCTCATAGGTGAGGATGTGCGGACACGGGTGTCCTTCAGAGACGACCTCTAGGGTAAGTTCCTAGTCAGCACTAACACACTGACTTCTGGAGCCTTCCCTGTCAGCTGTTCCCTGGCCGCCTGTGGCCAGTGGCCATGAGTCAGCACACTGCATTCCAGCAGCTGCTTCTGTCCCATGGCTTGGGCATCCACTCAACCTGTTTACATCATCCCATTGCCAAAGGGATTTTATTGTCAATGAAATACAGTTGTTCCAGAAACAAGTGGCTCAGAAGGGGCTGGTGCGCAGCCTGTCCTATGTGCTGAGCCCACTGCAGGATCAGCTACTCTTTTCCAACCTCCATTGTGACTTTGCAGATTCCATTTTAACAATTTCTGCAGATCTAAGCATGATATATAAAGAGAAAGTTTTCACAGTTTCACAACATCATGTTATTTTGAAAATCCAAAAATGAGGGATGGAGGAAGGGAAATGTTCATCACGATGCATAATCCCCCCCTCCCATCCTCACACATTGGGAATTATTCATTTTAAAAAGTCTTTTATTTGTCATTTTTTTTTTTGTCATTGTCAAGCTCCAGAAGTAAATAATTTAGAAAAATTAAATAAAGATACACATTTAAGTTGCTTATGATTTTCCCACTTAGAAATAACCATTTGGAGTGTTTTTTTGTTTGCTTGCTTGTTTTGAACCTAGGGGCCCTTAGCCACTGAACCACATCACTTCCTTTTTTATTTTTTTATTTAGAGACAGGATCTCACTAAGTTGCATAGGGCCTTGCTAAATTGCTGAGGCTGGCTTTGAACTTTCAATCCTCTTACCTCAGCCTCCTGAGCCACTGGGATTACAGGTGTGCACCATCATGCTTGGAGTATTCCTTTTTGATCATTTTTCTTGTTGTAGCAATTTACCTTGCTCTTCAGTTCATATGATAAATGTAAAAACAGATGTTTTTGCCCTAGAAGCTTTTTTTTTTTCACATATTCAGGCCCCCTGTCTTTCTATCCAGGTATCTCAGTGGAGTTCGAAAGAACAAATAAAAAATTGAATTGTTAGCTAGGTGTGATGGTGCAGGCCTGTAATCCCAGCAACTTGGAGGCTGAGGCTGGAGGATTATGAGTTTAAGACCAGCCTGGACAATTTAGGGAGACCCTGTCTCAAAAAAATTTTTTTAAATGATAGAAAGGACCGGGGATGTAGCTCAGTGGTAGAGCAACATCCCAGTACCCTCTGTTCTCTCCCAAAGTTGAAATATTAGAATTCATCCTTCATCTGATTTCATCCTGCATCCAGAAAATTTGAGTATTACTGTTAATGGGTTACAAAGATTTGCATTTTGGGATGCTTCTGTAGTAAAGACAAATACCAATAAATGGAAATGTGAATCATTTGGGAATACAAAGAGAAAAGTGGTGCTTTTGTTAAAGGACATTCCCTCCCCAGGAAGCTATCTATGGGCCAAGTCTAATGCTTCATTAATCACCCCAGGTTCTTGTAACTTATTTGGATGCAAGACGGTGACTTGCTAGCAGGTGAGTCTGAAAAGCCATTGACTGCTTTTCTCTTGTGGCTGACTTGTGACTTACAATTACTGATCTTTCATCTCCAAGAGATATAGCAACAGTTGTCAGTGGAAACAGGAAGAATGTTTATACAATTCATTTTATTGATTGAATGACTTCCCTGAGAAGTGGACCCTGTGGAATCAGCTTAGGCTTGTCCACCTCATAGTTTTATGAACAGAGAGGTTTGACACCTAAGTTTTATGCCAGCCCATGAAAATTTCCTATTGTCCCAGAATATTTGTGGATCCCTCAGGAGCTCAGAACTTCTGCCCCTGGGGTGGTGGTGGCTATGAGTTGAGGTCAGGTTAACTGCACAGAGCATTGTTTTTCTTTCCAAAAGGTCAGTCAGTGGTGTGAAGCAGGAATCTACCTCTTGGCTTCCCAAGCTGTAGACAAGTGCCAGTCTCGAGAGGGGGTCGACATTGCCTTGAATGACATTGAAGCATTCCTGGGCACTGCCAAGGAGTACCGGTTACTCAACCCCAAGGAGTTTTACAACAAGTTTGAGTTGATACTCACTGTTGACATAAAGGTAATGTTTCTGAGTTATTTTGATCCTTTGGTTTAGAAAGGAATGAGGGAGGAGGAATTTTTGTCTGTTGCCTATAAAGTTCTTGCAAGACCCGGGCGTGCTGGCACATGCCTGTAATCCCATCAGCTTGGGAAGCTGAGGCAGGAGGATCATGAGTTCAAAGTCAGCCTCGGCAACTTAGTGAGGCCCTAAACCCTTAGGTGAGTGACCTCTCAGACTCCTGACCTAAATGTCTTAGCAAACACCTTCAAGGTCTGACTCAAGTTTCACCTTTAGTTATTCATTTCTTTTCACATATTTATGAGCATCTCTGTTGTATCCTGCTCCATGCTGAGTGCTAGGGACACAGTGATGAGCAGAAATAGACAGGTTTCCACTCTTCATATGGACACTGAACTTACAGTTTAGTGAGACATTAATAAGATATTGACACAAAAATGTTACAAGGTAAGTGCTCTGACAGAGGGATTCAGGGTCCCTATTGGGCATGTGACAGAGGAACTCGACATGGATTGGTGTCGGAGAAGTCTTTTGCGGAGAGTCACTTGAGCCAAGGTCTGGAAAATGAGAAGATGGGGAGTCTTTCCAGTTGAAAGGAACAAGGCTGTTGGGAACCTGCACAAGTGCAGAACCCAAGGTCAAGGTGAGTCGAGAGAGCAAGGGAAGGTCATTTGGCCTGAGGTTAAAGACAGACAGATGAGGTAAGACACTGTGAGCCTTGTTAAAGAGTTTCATCTTTTTTCTGAGAATAGTGGGAAGCCTTGGAAGAATTAAAGCAGAGGAATAACATCACTGGGTTGCCATTTTGAGAAGAGTCCTCTTCTATGAAGCCAGCAGGGTTATATATGACACCTTCCTCTGATCCATAGTACCTTGTGTGTATCTCTGCTTGAGGGGCTCCTCTACCTCTTTTTGAGTAATGGGCCCTCTCCAGAATCGGATTCACATATTTTCAGATCCTGCTCACTCAAAAGTGACTAAAAGTAGTTTGATGTTGGCTTCATTTGTAAAGATATGGACAGGTTTTAGGGGTACTATAAGGGTTGGTGAAGGGCTCTGGAACTAGCAAGACACAGGAAGCAGTAACCACTCCTAAGTCTAATGTGCCAGGATATCATAAAGAAGGTTCTGAGAAGTTCCCAGAGAGAAGGACCAGTGGGGTTCGTGGTTTGTGTGATGGAAAGAATTTCAGTATTCACCAATCAGAGGCATAGACAGTGATTAATTTAGGAAAGTAGATAGATACACATTTAAAGGAGAATTGGAAGTCTCAAGAGAGAGACAGACACCTTTGGGGATAAACAAGGAATACATATTTGAGAGAGAATGTGGGCTATCCCATGAGTGAGAGATATGGTTTGGAAGTTCCTGGCCCTTCTTTTAAAGGAAACCTGGTGAGCTGTAGGTATGGAAGGGTATGTAGGGATGATATCAGTCTGGTGATCTCAAGATGGGTCATGGTGGTCTCGTCAACCTCTGGATCCTTAGGCTGATATGGTCTTCATTGTCTGATCAATAGATAGTGCTAGAAAGTCCCCTAAGTTGTAGGTGTCTTAAAATGTCATATCTCTATTTATTTAGGTGGGGTTAGTTAACAGTGTTTTGATACATTTATAGATTTCCCAGGAATTTAGGAGTAACCAGTCTGAAAAAGACTGTTTAGAGAGTGAAAGTACTAGAAAAGTGTTTAGAACTCTAAAATTTTATTTTATTTTCCTTCCTTTATGTCTCCTTTTTACCTATTTTTTTTCCCATCCTACCTCAAGGGGAACTCAGGAAGAACTACAGCTGTGACTGTGAGAAAGGGCAGCCAGTAGGAATGTGGCCTTCCGTGGAGGGACACAGTTCCTAGCAGAGCAATACTGCTCTAGTTTGGATCTGGAGTGTTGTCCAAAGGCCCATATGTTAAAGGCTCACTGCTCAGCTTTGTATTTTTGGAAGATTATGGGACCCTTTACCAGGTGGATCCAAGTAGAAAGTCCTCGATCACTGGGGTTGTGTTGTCTTCTTCTCTCTTTGCTTTCCAGACACCATGAGGTGAGCAACTTGCTCTGCCATGTGCTCCCCACCTTGCCACAAGCCAAAAAGAAATGGGGCCAACAAAAAAATGGAAGGAAACCTCTGAAGTTGTGAGCCAAAATAATCTTTCCTCTTCTTAAATTAATTATCTCAGGCATTTTGTTACAGTAACAGAGAAAATGACTAACACAAATATTTATCTCTGTTCTTCTCTTTGAGTTTCTGTTAGTGCTTTCCATTGGCCAAAGCCAATTGAAAAATCCATAAGCTTATCTGATGAAGTCCAAAGAGGTCAGCTTCTTGGGGTACAGAGCAAAGAAAGGCATTGTTATAGATCAACAGAGAATATACAACATATATGACTTTTATAAGTAATTTTAGGGAATACCCTAAAATCTATCCTTGTACTCAGGCCCATGTGTTAAGAACCTTTGTTCTCATATGACGCACATTACACTGTATTCAAGCTGTTTATTTTGAATGTCTATCTCATTTATTACAGTGGAAACTCTTTAAGGGCAGGGCCTTTGCCTCATCCATCCTACCCGTCCTGCAGAGGGGCAGCATGGGCAGAGAGTAGTGGGGGCAGCTTGGTGTTCACTTTACCTCAGTGATGTCCTCTCCCTGACCTCACTGAGTTTGTGTCCTCAGATATGATCTCCAGGTGGGATGGGACTTTCCCCCAGTACAGGGATCCTCCTACTTCCCTGAACAGGGACAAGGAGAGGCCCATCTGGTGACTGACCTGATGTGCTGCTGTTAGCTCCAGGTCAAATTCCTAAGGCAGAACAGTTTCAACCAAGCTCCACCTCTAGTAGCCAAAAACACAGGTGCAGCAAATCAACCATGGAGATTTACAGTTGCAGCTGAGTTCTGACCACCTTCAGCAAATCCCTTCCACCACCACATCACCTGCCAGAAAATGAATAAAACCTAATAAACTACTTCTGAGTAATAGGTAGAAACATGAGTGAATGGAAGGATTGAAAAAGAACTACTACTAATAAATCCTGTATGTACAATAGACCAAAATACCCCAAAGCCTGTTGCTATGGTTTGATGGCCCCTCCAAAATTCATGTTGAAGTTTAATAGTAAAACATTAAGAGGTGGAGTTATAAAGAGGTCATTGGGGCATGGAGTACTGTCCTCATGAATGGATTAGTGCTGTTGTGGAGGGAGTGGGTTAGTTACTACGGTAGTGAGTCCCTGAGAAAAGCATATGTCCAGCCTCTACCCTTCCTCTCTCACTCTCACATGCATGCTTTCTCTTCTTACGATGCCCTCTACCATGTTGTGACACAGCAAGAAAGCTCTCACCAGATTCTAGCACAATGCTCTAGGAAATCTTTGCCTCCAGAACTGTAAAAATAATGTTACCAGACCCTAGTCCATCTGCTCACCACTTGAAAGCCCAGTACTCAAGAAATGATAAATGCTACAAAGGAAATAGTATTTATTCATGTACTGGCATCCTGAGAAGATGGGGGCTAGTGTCCCCCCCCCCATTTGGGGAACTCAGGCATGTGAAAGGGCTTTTATCTCAGGCATTTTGTTATGGTAACAGAGAAAAACGACTAACACAAGTATTCATCTCTGTCCTTCTCTTTGATTTTCTGTTAGTACTTTCCATTGGCCAATGGGATTTTTAAAAAGGTACAGGGGTCAGTGGACAGAAAGACAATATGGTGTGCAGGGTCTTTGTCATCCAGGGTGTATGTCTTTTTCTTTTTCTTTCTTTCCTTTCTGGCCAGAACATTGCAATTGACCTCAACCTCCTGGGACTAGTTCATATAATTCTGTAGATGAATACTATTTTTCTGAGAGATAGGCCTCACAGCAATGTATATGTCTTGTGTTAGTAGATGCACAGAAATAAAGATTAAGGAGGGGTTGCTGGGGCTGGGGTTGTAGCTCAGTGGTAGAGCGCTCGCCTAGCATATGTGAGGCACCGGGCTCCATTCTCAGCACCACATAAAAATAAATAAATAAAAATAAAGTCATTGTGTCCATCTACAACTAAAGAAAAAAATTCATTTAAAAGGCAGTGGAGTTTGCCAGGCATGATGGAGCACACCTTTAATCCCAGCAGCTCAGGAGGCTAAGGCAGGAGGATCACATGTTCAAAGATAGCCTCAGCAACTTAGCGAGACACTTAGCAATTCAGTGAAACCCTATCACTAATAAAATATTTAAAAAGGGGCTGGGGACGTGGCTCAGTGGTTAAACCCTCCTAGGTTCAATCTCCAATACCAAAAAAGAAAAAAATAAAGGAATAAAGAGGGGTGCTACACATTCTGATGTTATCTGATGTTCTGGGTTCTGTAAATCTGAAGAAAGATTGCTAGCAATTGACATCTTAATCATTTAGATGTGACTTTTCTTGAGAATGTAGAATGCCAGAAGGACAACTACACAAAGGGGTATTATAACAAATCTCTCTTTTTTTTTTTTATAAATTACCCAGTCTTATATATTCTGTTACAGCAGATGAAAACAGACTTTTTTCTTACTTTGGCTTGGATTTAAATATGTTCTGTCATAAAGTGAGTTTTGTCCATTGAGGAGCCATGAATTTGTTTTTATTGCTGGTACTCTATACATATAGAAATATCCATAGATATATATATACACGTGGGTTAGTATAAGAACATGCATTTCCTACTTTGATAGTTGAGAGGGCCTGTTAGGGCCTGTAAGCAATGAGACCACAGTATGATGAGCACATCTAGAACCAAACACTTCTTTATTTTCCTTCCTTTTCTTTCTTTCTTTTCCCCCCTGCCCCCAACCCCCAGAAATTGAATTGAGGGCCTCACATAGGATGGGCAAACACTCCATCACTAAGCTACATTCCCCAACCCTTTTTAAAATTGTATTTTGAGGCAAGGTCTCAAAAAGTTGATAAGGTTGGCCTCAAACTTGCATTCCCTTCTTTCTCAGCTTCCTGAGTCATTGGGATTACAGATGCACACTACCATG